AAGAGCCTCAGAACGCCTGAAAGAAGCAGTTCGTTTAATATAAATGCATAAAGCCCGACGTACATCAAGGTAATGCCACTTACGTTCCAGTCTATGTGATGGCTGAGAACAGAAGTCGGGAAGCACCAATTCCTGGGTTCTATGGAATACAGAATTTACCTTAGGTACAAAGGCCAGGTCAAGTCGAAGGACTACCTTATCAGGATGAAAGATGCATAAATCTTGCCTGATGGACAAGGCTGCCAACTCGGAAACTCGCCTCGCTGAGGTAATGGCTACAAGAAAATCCACTTTTAATGTTAAAACATGCAAGGACACAGAATGCAAAGGCTCAAATGGAGACTGAGTTAAGGATTCCAGGACTTTGGAGACATCCCAGGTACGGAATCTGTGTATTGTCAGTGGTTTGAAGTTTGTGGCACCTCTCAAGAGCGACGGATCAGAGGTTCATGAGAGAGAGACTGAGCCGAAGTCAGAGAGAGGACTGAAGACAGGGCCGCAACCTTGCGACGAAGAGTGTTCGGTGAAAGCCCCAGGTCCAGCTGCAGAAATTGGAGAATATGAGGAACAGAAGCCTCAAGAGGAACAACACCCTTAGAGTGACACCATACAGAGAATTGACTCCAAGTGGCGTCATAAATGCGATTAGTAGGACGCCTGGAGGCTTGAATTGTTTGAATGACCTCTGCAGACAGGTTCGCAGTTCTTAGAGCTTCCTGCTCAACCTCCAGGCAGTGAGAAGCAACCACGGAAGGTCTGGATGCTGGAGTCCCCCTTGGAGGAGCAGCGAGGGAAACTGGGGCAGTTGCCACGGAGGAGCTACTGAGAGGTTCATAAGGTCGGCAAACCAGGGTCTGCGGAGCCACCGAGGAGCAATCAGGATTAGTTCTGCCCTTTCCACCAGTAGTTTTCGCACCACCCTCTGAATGAGAGGGGTAGGAGGAAAGGCATAGAGAAGGCCCGGAGGCCACTCGCTCCTCAGAGCATCCGCGCCCTCCGCTCCTGGTGTCGCATAGCGAGTGAAGTACCTTGGTAACTGAGTGTTGTCCTGGGAGGCAAATAGGTCGAGAACCGGAAGCCCGAACCTGACTGTCAGTTGGTGGAAGATGCGCCAATGTAAGCTCCACTCTGCTGGATCGATGTGCATGCGGCTGAGGTCATCTGCCTGAGTGTTTTGGACCCCCGATATGTGCTCTGCCCTGAGCGATAACAGGTGGTTTTCCTCCCAAGAGATCAGTTGGAAAGACAGAGTCATTAGACGCCGGGATTTTGTCCCCCCCTGCCGGTTTATCTGTGCTTTGGTGGTGGTATTTTCCGTAAGGACGAGCACGTGCGCATTGGCCACAAGAGAGTGGAAACAAAGGAGGGCAAGAAACACTGCTTTCAGCTCCAACCAGTTGATACTGTTCCTCTGGTCGGAACATGACCAAAGACCTTGGGCTGTGTGTGACAACACGTGGGCTCCCCACCCTTGCAGACTTGCGTCCGTAGTTAGTATGATGCATGGGGGTTTGTGAAAGAGAGAGCCACCAGCGTAGGGATCGCCTTACCTCCGATGTCAGACGTATTCTGTGTGAAGAGCAACTGCAGTTCGCCTTCTGATACGGGAGCAGAAGCCATTGGAGCTGGCGACTGTGGAATCTGGCCCACGGCATGATGTAGAAAGTGGACACCATCTTGCCCAAGAGCTGAGACAGTTGGATGAACGGAACCGCCTCTTTTTCGCGGACGAATGAGACCATGTCGTGAATGCTCACCTGCCTGTCGGGGGATAAGAATACCTGTTCCAGAGAGGTGTCTATCACTGTCCCCAGATGCGTGAGACGAGTCGTGGGCTGCAGATGACTCTTCTTCAAGTTGACCAGAAAACTGTGGTCCCCTAGGGTCTGAAGGGTGAGCTGGATGTTCCGGAGGGCCTGATGTGACGACCTGGATAGTAACAAAATATCATCAAGATAACAGAGAATTCTAACCGGCATAGATCTGAGATGGGCCGCCAGAGCAGCAAGAATCTTAGTGAAAACCCTTGGGGCCGATGACAAACCAAATGGAAGTGCTCGGTATTGGAAGTGTTTCCCTTCGTAGGAAAAACGAAGAAATTTTCTGTGATCTGGAAGAATGGGAATATGGAGGTATGCCTCTGTGAGGTCAATGGAGGAGAGAAGGTCATTGGGCTGAATGCTCTCCAGAATGGACAA